CCCTTTTATTTCATTTCGTCTTCGTTTTCTTTTTGTTTTTTCGTTTTTATCGTTTTTATCACTTTTTTCCTGTGGTTTGTGCGCCTGTCAGTTGTTTCTCGTTTATTAACAGTGAGCTTTTAACCCCTAATTCTCTCTCCTCTGTCTCCCCTTTCCATTCTTCTCTCTCCCTTCCTCCCCTCTCTCCCCTTCATCGGTTTCTTCCCTCTTCCCCTTTCCTCCACCCTCCTCAATTCTTTCTTCTCCTCCTTCCCTTCTCCCTCCCTCTCCTCTCCCTTCCTACTCCTGTCATTCTCTATTCTCTCTCTATCTCTCCTTTTTTCTTCATTCCCTCGTCCTTCCCTCCTCTCCCCATCTCTCCTTCCTTCCTCATTCCCTCGTCCTTCCCTCCTCTCCCCTTCCTCCTTCCTTCCTCATTCCTCGTCCTCCTCTCCTCTCCCCATCTCTCCTTCCTTCTCCATTCCCTCGTCCTTCCCTCCTCTCCCCCTTCCTCCTTCCTTCCTCATTCCCTCGTCCGCCTCTCCTATCCCCATCTCTCTTCCTTCTCCATTCCTCGTCCTTACCCTCCTCTCCCCTTCCTCCTTCCTTCCTCATTCCCTCGTTCCCTCCTCTCCTCTCCCCATCTCTCTTCCTTCTTCATTCCCTCGTTCCTACCTCGCTCCTCTCCTCTCCCCATCTCTCCTTCCTTCTTCATTCCCTCGTCCTCCTCTCCTCTCCCCATCTCTCCTTCTTCTTCATTCCCTCGTCCTCCTCTCCTCTCCCCATCTCTCCTTCCTTCCTCATTCCCTCGTCCTTCCCTCCTCTCCCCTTCCTCCTTCCTTCCTCATTCCCTCGTCCTTCTCTCCTCTCCCCTTCCTCCTTCCTTCCTCATTCCCTCGTCCTCCTCTCCTCTCCCCATCTCTCCTTCCTTCTCCATTCCCTCGTCCTTCCCTCCTCTCCCCTTCCTCCTTCCTTCCTCATTCCCTCGTCCTTCCCTCCTCTCCCCTTCCTCCTTCCTTCCTCATTCCCTCGGCCCTTCCCTCCTCTCCCCTGCCCCTCCTTCCTTCCTCATTCCTCGTCCTTCTCTCCTCTCCCCTTCCTCCTTCCTCCTCATTCCCGTCTGTCCTTCTCGTGCCTCTCCCCATCTCTCCTTCCTTCTTCATTCCATCGTCTTTCCCCTCCTCTCCTCATCTCTCCTTCCTTCTTCATTCCCTCGTCCTCCTCTCCTCTCCCCGCCTCTCCTTCCTTCTTCATTCCCTCGTCCTCCTCTCCTCTCCCCATCTCTCCTTCCTTCTTCATTCCCACGTCCTCCTCTCCTCTCCCCATCTCTCCTTCCTTCTTCATTCCCTCGTCCTCCTCTCCTCTCCCCGCCTCTCCTTCCTTCTTCATTCCCTCGTCCTCCTCTCCTCTCCCCGCCTCTCCTTCCTTCTTCATTCCCTCGTCCTCCTCTCCTCTCCCCATCTCTCCTTCCTTCTTTATTCCCTCGTCCTCCTCTCCTCTCCCCATCTCTCCTTCTTTCTTCATTCCCTCGTCCTTCCCTCCTCTCCCCTTCCTCCTTCAGTGATCTTCTCCACTCTTCTCCTCTCCATCTCCCCCTCGCTCCCTCTTTCCTCTCTATCTCTCTCACTATCCCTCTCCCTCTCCCTCCTTCCTTCCTCTCGCAGCCTCTCTCCTTCCCACACCCCCCTCTCCATCTCCCTCCTCCCTCCATCATCACCCCCTCCTTCATCCCCCTTCTCTACCTATCTCTTTCCCTTCCCCCTTTCTTTCCACCTCCCTCCTCCCTCCATCATCTCCCTTTCCTTCCTCCCCCTTTCTCTACCTCCCTCCTTCCTTTCCCCCTGTCTTTCCACCCTCTTCTCCACCTTCCTCCTCCCTCCATCATCTCTCTTTCCTTTCTCCCCCTTTCTCCACCTCCCCCCCCAGTCTTTCCACCCTCCTCTCCTCCTCCCTCCTCCCTCCATCATCACCCCCTCCTTCCTCCCCCTTTCTCCACCTCCCTCCTTCCCTTCTCTCCCCCCCAGTCTTTCCACCCTCCTCTCCTCCTCTCCTCCTCCCTCCTCCCTCCCACCATCACCCCCCCATTGTCTTGCTCTCCGGACCAGTAGCAAAGACAGAGCCGCAGGACAGGGCACTCAGCCGGCAGCGTAAAAGATTTTCTGAAGACAGTGCTTTAACGCAAGAAACTCAGGGGGGAAGGGGGGGGGAAGGGAGAAGTGGGAAAAATATAAAAAGGCGAAAATAGGGGAGAACCGCGAGAGAGGATGAATTGAAAGTAGAAGAAAAGAACAACAGAGAGAGAGAAAGCGAGAGAGAGAGAAAGAGAGAGAGAGAGAGAGAGAGAGAGAGAGAGAGAGAGAGAGAGAGAGAGAGAGAGAGAGAGAGAGAGAGAGAGAGAGAGAGAGAGAGAGAGATAAAGAGAGAGAAAGAGATAAAGAGAGAGAAAGAGATAAAGAGAGAGAAAGAGATAAAGAGATAAAGAGATATAAAAAGAGATAAAGAGAGAGAAGAGGAAAGAGGA